AGGAGGGAGGATGGAGGATGGAGGCGGGAGGGAGGAGGGAGGAGGAGGGAGGGATGGAGGGATGGAGGGAGGGAGGGAGGTAGTGAGGGAGAGAGGAGGAAGAGGAGGAGGAGGAGGAGGAGGAGGAGGAGGAGGAGGAGGAGGAGGAGGAGGAGGAGGAGGAGGGGAGAAGGAGGAGGAGAGGAGGAGGAAGGAGGAGGAAGAGGGAGGAGGAGTAGAAGGAGGAGGAGAGGAGGAGCGAGTGAGGAGGAGGAGGAGGAGGAGGAGGAGGAGGAGGAGGAGGAGGAGGAGGAGGAGGAGGAGGGAGGAGGAGGAGTGAGGGGGGAGGGAAGGGAGGGAGGAGGGAAGGGAGGGAAGGGGAGGGAGGAGGAGGAGGAGGAGGAGGAGGAAGAAGGGAGGAGGAGGAGAAGGAGGAGGAGGAGGAGAGGAGAGAGAGGAGGAGGGAGGAGGAAGGAGGAGGAGGAGGAGGAAGAGGGAGGAGGAGGAGAAGGAGGAGGAGGAGGAGGAGGAGGAGAGGAGGGGAGGAGGAGGAGGAGGAGGAGGGAGGAGGAGGAGGAGGAGGAGGAGGAGGAGGAGTGCAGAGGGGATGGCGGGGGCAGCGCCGCGGCGGCGCTCCTCCTGCCGGGGGCCGTGGGCGGACGGGCGGCCGCGATCCGTCCTCGGGGGCAGGCCCAGCCAGGGGGGCAGAAGCCCTGCAGAGAGTGATGGGCCTGTTTTCCACCACCACCACCACCACCATAAGTTTGAGGGGGGAAGGAGGTGGATGAGGAGGAAGAGGAGGAAGAGGAGGAAGAGGAGAAGGAGGAGGAGGAGCAGGAGGAGGACCCCCTCCCCCTCCAACTTATGGTGGTGGTGTTGGAAAACAAGCCCACCAGGGAGCGCAGAAAGCACCAAGAGCACCCTCAGAATGAGCACCCCCCAAGCTCAGCCGTTGAGTTACCCCCCCCCAAAAAAATGAAGGGCAACGAGAACGGGGGATAGGCACAGGGGTGGAGACATCGTCCCGGGATCGGCGACGCAGCGCCGACTGATTGACGGGGCTATCGGGCCCCATATCGGCGATCAGTGGGCGATTGGGGGTCGATGCATACCCCCCAATATGCTTATCCCCCCTATCGTTGCCCCGGAAGGGAGGGAGCGAACAGGGCAGGGCTGTTCAATAAACGCCCAGGGCCGCGTGGTAAACGCCACTTTGGGGGGGTGGGTTTTTTTTTCATCCCCCGAGAGGAGGCCCGGCCTCCGCTCTGCGAACCGTTTTGTGATCCTGCACTCTCGAGGCGAAACGCGGCGAGGCGGGGTCACGATCATTTTTATTCCCTGAGAGGAGGCTCGGCCTCCGCTCTGCGAGCTGTTTTGTGATCATCAACTCTGGCAGCGAGGCGAGGCGAGGCGAGGCGAGCGAGCAGTACCGACGCCAGGGGCGGGGCCCGTGTGGGCTTGCGCCAGGGGGGCCGAGGCCCCTGGTTTCGGCGGCGAGCCTGGGGAGTAAGTGAGAGGGGGCAGTTTCGGGAGTTTCGGGTTCGAGGTTCGAGGTTTTCGGGCGTCGTCGTCGGTTCTCGGCGGTTTTCCAGCCTCGGGGTGCGCTCGAGCAGCTGCGCCTCGCCGAGGGCGTTCTGGGGATGTCCGGATCGCCCCGAACGGCCACTGGAGAGCCTAGTTTTGACCGAGAGAACAGCCAGGTGTCCACAAGTAGGCGGGCCTTCTCGGAAGGCTCAGAAGTTCCCCCAACATTCTCTGAGAAGTTGTCTGAGCTGCCCCCGAAGACACGGAAGACTTTTCGGAAGGCTGGAAGACTTCTGAAAATCCCCGCCGCTTTCTCAAAGGCCTTCTCCTTCTCACTTCCTCCCCTCGCTCGCCGCCGATCCAATTAACGATACGTGTGTTCTGGTGGTCCACTTTGCACTGCGCGAACTCTGTCTTCCAGCCCCTGCCACGTGTACCACATCCAATAGCCAAACACCATGCGCAACCGATATCGTCGGGTAGTCTCTCGTCGCGATCAAGCATCTCCATTGCCTCCCAAAACTTCACAATCTCATGACCCAGCGTTTATGTATCCTCTTGTCTGAAGGCCTGCCTCAACAAAGCCAAAGAAAGTGGGGACGCAAGATCACGCCGCATTGCTGTCGCATCGCCGATGCGCTGGCGACGTCGGGACGGAGAAAATCAGACGCCAGATCGCTCCGCATCGCCGGTGCGTCGGCGATACGGAGCGACCCTCCGACCCCATCCAATCTGGCCACATCTGGAAGGCTAGACTTCCCCTCCAAGACTCGCGAGCGCTTCCCTACAACATGGAGGCTCGACCCTCCAAGCGGAGGTTGACGATCCTCTGGGCACGAGGCATGGCAACGAGATTTGTACATTTTCACCGCCTCTGGCCAGCCCAGGAGCAGTGTGCACGACCCCCTGGCCAAACCTATTCCAAGCTTCTGCAGCTCTGGCCCCTTCC